AGAAAAGTGCAGGGGGGGGAGAGAGAGAAAAGTGCAGGGAGGGAGAGAGAGAAAAGTGCAGGGAGGGAGAGAGAGAAAAGTGCAGGGAGGGAGAGAGAGAAAAGTGCAGGGGGGGGAGAGAGAGAAAAGTGCAGGGAGGGAGAGAGAGAAAAGTGCAGGGAGGGAGAGAGAGAAAAGTGCAGGGAGGGAGAGAGAAAAGAGTGCAGGGGGGGAGAGAGAGAAAAGTGCAGGGAGGGAGAGAGAGAAAACTGCAGGGAGGGAGAGAGAGAAAAGTGCAGGGAGGGAGAGAGAGAAAAGTGCAGGGAGGGAGAGGGAGAAGAGTGCAGGGAGGGGGAGAGAGAAAAGTGCATGGAGGGAGAGAGAGAAAAGTGCAGGGAGGGAGAGAGAGAAGAGTGCAGGGGGGTGGGGGAGAGAGAAAAGTGCAGGGAGGGAGAGAGAGAAAAGTGCAGGGAGGGAGAGAGAGAAAAGTGCAGGGAGGGAGAGAGAGGAAAGTGCAGGGAGGGAGAGAGAGAAAATTGCAGGGAGGGAGAGAGAAAAGTGCAAGGAGGGAGAGAGAAAGGAGTGCAGGGAGGGAGAGAGAGAAGAGTGCAAGGAGGGAGAGAGAAAGGAGTGCAGGGAGGGAGAGACCAGGGTGCAGGGAGGGAGCGGGTCCCCGCCATTGGGGGAAGGAGAGGAGGTGGCTCGTGAGAGTCACTTTGTCCCCCTTTCACAGCTATGTCTTCATTCCACCAAACCCCTGTTGTCCCAATGTCTACAGGTAACCCACGGCCCATGAGGAAGGAGGGAATAGTTGTGGCGCACCCGGTCACATGGGGGAACTTAGTCAACCTGCAGTTAAATTTGCGAGAACACCAGAGTTATTGGCTGTAAGGTTGCTTGCCGTTTCCAAGCTTTTCAAAGCAGATCGGACGATGAACAACCAGTAGGCATCTGACTGCTCTTAGCTTGTTATAACCATTGACTTCTGCGTGTATGCATATAGATCCTAGCCACCACATAGATCCTCGTAGCTACAGCCATAGGCCCCTTGAAGCATGTATCTTATTCTTACGCCCCAGTCTATTGCTCATCCACATTTGGCCCTAGTCTGATAAGTATCGGGGGTGATCCAAGGAAATGAATCCTGATTGTAGCTCCCCATTGGGAGTGAGCCACATAGCAGAGAGAAAGCCGAACGCCAGGGCCAGGCCATCGTCGCATTCTTGCTCCCTGCTCACCGTCTGGCCATCAGCCAAACCACACGCTCACCGCCCCACGCCCCCCTGGTCCATGCTGTCCTGCCTCTCTCCCTCCCTGCTGTCCTGCCTCTCTCCCTCCCTGCTGGGGGACAGGGGGGGTAACAGGAAGGGGGAGCATAGGGGAGGTGAGGGACAGGGGGGAGGAAAGTAAGGGGGAGCATAGGGGAGGTGTAGGGAGGGGGATCACATGGCAGACGGAGTGGAGAGCATGGCAGATTATGGGCGGGATATCGAATGAGAGGGGAGCATGGCAAAACAGGGGGGAGCTAGGCAGATGGGGGGGGAGGGGGGGGGGGAGATGAAGGGGGAGCATGGCAGATCAGGGGGGAAGTTAGGCGGAATAAGGGATGGGAGTAGGGGGGATAAGGGATGAGAGTAGGGGGAGGGAATAAAGATATAGAGTGGGGGGAGATAAGGGAACGGAGTGGGGGGAATCAGGGAAGGTAGTGGGGGGAATATGGGATGGGGGAATGAGGGTAGGGAGTTATGGGAACAAGGGAATGGTATGGGGGGGATATGAGAGACGGAGTACTCTTCATGGCTTTGGCACCCATGGGTCCGCCCCATCTCAGCCTCTATCCTTCCTTCCGCACCTCTCTCCTTCCTTCCGCACCTCTCTCCTTCCTTCCGCACCTCTCTCCTTCCTTCCGCACCTCTCTCCTTCCTTCTGCACCTCTCCTCTTCCCTTCCACATTCCGCTAGATCTTCTAGGTGGGTACAGGCAGGGGCACAGGAACACGTTTCTCTCTCTCCTACCCGCAACTCTCGAACCCCTAGTCTCTGGCTTCGGTTTGCGTCTTTCGCGCCGTGCAAAATCGACTCACTGTGGTACTAGTAACTGGCGACGCCATCCCAAAAATTAGGGTGGCAAAATGATACCCCCAAGACTGCCGCAGGTAACCTGAGGGTTTCGCGCTGGGGGGTAACCCTGGGGCTTCCGACTGAGTGACCTCGGGGAAACCGACGGTCAAAATGCCTTTCGATGTGACTCGTGGGAAATCCACGAAGTCACACCTTTCCGAAACCTTCGGGTTACCCTCAGGTGTCATCAGGGCTAGGTGGGGGGAACGTGAGGGCATCCCTTTTCCGAGGCGCGTCCTTGATACAAGCCAGTCGATACGCGTACAGTAACTTATAGTACACCTGAAAAGTAATTAAATGCTCTCATACAAAAATTATATTGGTACATTCCATTTGTATTCTTCTCCAATGCTCATTTGCCAATAGCAAAATCGACAGATTTTACAGGTTTACAGCCAAAAAATATTGCTAATACATACAGATTTTAGTCAACAGGTTTACGACATTTCAGTATTCAAAATTCCGACCTGTTATTGATAATACATACACCACAAATATTTCGGACTGGAACGAATGGTTCGTAACTCCGTGGAGGTGACAATCACCAAACTTAGTACGCATAATCTGCACAGTAAGGATGGGAAGAGAAAGCAATAAACAAAACAAAACCAGTTTACGCTTCTTACAGTTAGGCAGTCAGAGCCCGGACCAGAGAAATGCTTCACAAAAAGAGTGTTGGCGGGACACAACCCGAACCTCTCTCTGTACAGCTCCGGCAGGATAACAGACATCGCAAGTTGGCACGGCTGGTGTGATGAAACAAGACGAAAAAACAGGCATACACAGGTATGCAATGGCAAACCGCGAAGATGTGCCTTACCCTTCATCGTAAATGGCAGTGAGCCACTGTCGAAAACGCGACTAGTGTCAGCCAAATTAATCACGTGCCATCACCTGAACGACAGAGGTCCAAATTTATGAAAGAACCTTTGCCTTCGTCCTGGAAAAACGAAAAGCGGGAATAAGACACGGTTTGAAGTGACAAAACGCCATAACACGAATGCCAACGTCCGACCAAAGACCATGCAAGAATGGGAGTTGTGACCGGGACAAAACCACAAACGGAGAATCAAACATATGAACCAGACTCGGGTACGGGTCGACGCGCAGAGTTGTACCTAGGGAACGAAGAATGTTGGCAGCCGAAGAATAGGAGAAAACGATGGTGTGCTCTCATTGGTCAGCTATTGGAAGACCGTACCCATCAATATCGTACGCGTAAAAGCGGCCCCGTCTAGAGTCATACACGTTTGATAATTTATGTCTAACTAGTTTTCCACTTCGCTGTACACGCGTGTATGCAATTGGCGGCACAACTCCAGGCCTGGGCTTCGCACCTTGCTATTGGCCAGCACGAACTGATGGTTTGAGTTCAAAATCAGCTTGGTAAGCAGATCCTGATTGGCTGTCAAGTTTCGTTGCGAGGGGTAGCGAATTATTTTGCCTATGTAACAGCTTCGCCTTGCTCACAGGTTTCTCCTGGCACTCTTGGGGGGGAACAATGGGGCATCCTGGCGTAGGACACCTGTGGGTATCCCTCGCCCCCAAGGCCACTTTGCCTTCGCAGAATTTTGGGATGGCTAAGCGCGAATGGATTTAGAGCTGGGAAGATTCTGGCTCGCATATACCGTGTGGAAAGCGACACATATCTGTGCGGAGTTGGGCGCCTTTTTTTCAGCAGCGCTTCTGCCGTTGTTCGCGTCTGTTATTTGGTTTCATTGCCCCTAGCGCGTTTGCCGCTGGGCACAATCTGGTGCTTGCCTGGTGGTTTTGTGTGTGACACGATTTTGTGACGCGTTTTTGCTTGCAAGGAGGTCCCAGGTTTGGCGAAGGTTTTTCTGTTTGCGAAGGGGCAGGTCGGTTTGGCCTTGTTTCGCAATTCCAATTTTGAATATCTGGTTCATCGTCATTTTCGCAGCCAATCGCAAACCTTTCGCCCTCTCCCGAGCCGCGCACTGCAAATCTGCTTTTCGCGGCTTGCAACCTGGGATCTGGGCTTTAATTGATCCGAAATTCGGGTATGTGTTGTATGTAGGACACACATGCTGTCTCTCAAAGAAGCTTAGGATAGGAACTAAACTTATGACCCTAGCTTAGCTAGGAAGGAAGAAAGTGTCAGAAACCCAGTCAGTAACCACTGGGTTAAAAGGGCTTGTTGAATAGCGGGTAAGTGCGTCCATAGCCCCCCAGGCTCTGCATCTGTGGCCCTTCCCCGAGGATCTCAAGGGCAACCCCCAGCGGGTCACTCAACACCCCCCCCCCCCCCCGCTGGGATAGGTGGAAGACACGAGCGCCTCTGCAGCGCTGGCACTGGGAGTTGGACCCAAGACCTTTGGCTCTGATACCATGTCAGAAACCCAGTCACTAACCACTGGATTAAAAGGGCTTGTTGAATAGCGGGTAAGTGCGCCCATAGCCCCCCAGGCTCTGCACCTGTGGCCCTTCCCCGAGGATCTCAAGGGCAACCCCCAGCGGGTCACTCAACACCCCCCCCCCTCGCTGGGATAGGTGGAAGACACGAGCGCCTCTGCAGCGCTGGCACTGGGAGTTGAACCCAAGACCTTTGGCTCTGATACCATGTCAGAAACCCAGTCACTAACCACTGGGTTAAAAGGGCTTTTTAAATAGCGGGTAAGTGCGCTCATAGCCCCCCAGGCTCTGCACCTGTGGCCCTTCCCCGAGGATCTCAAGGGCAACCCCAGTGGGTCACTCAACAGAAAGGGCGCCATGGAAATGGCGTGCGGAAGGTAGATCTAGGAGCGTGAGAAGAGTTGACGAGAAAGAAGAGTTGGGATTAGGAAGAGAGAGCAGTACAAGGAGGGGATTGTACCCTCTACACAAAGGTTCAGTAACAACCTACCAAGCCTATATTAAATTATAACTTATATAATTTTAACACTGTCTTCCTCTTCCCCATTATTACGTATATAAGCTTTCATTGCAAGGGTTACAATACAAGGCAGCACTTGCATGCAAAAAGGAGGGAGAACCATATCCTACCCGGAATGTGAAGTATAGCAGCCTCTCCTTGCGCCATACCGGCTCCCCAGAAACCAACACAGTGACACAGCTCCTTTCCAGGCAAGGGTGAGAGCATAGCCTAACCCAACAAACACATGCCTGCAGCACCTACTGCTCCGTTCAGTCTCTCCTCCCATCGTCATCCACTCTCACTTCTGTCAAGCCGGCCACGACAACGCCCGAGCTCATGCCTCTATTATCCCCAAAGTGCTCCGCCTCCACAGCCAGTAGTCTCTCACGCACGTCGCGCATGCTGGGCCGCTGCTCCACCACCTCCTGCACACAGTCCGCTGCAATCTGCCCCAGCAGCTGGAACGCCCCTGCAAAGGCACGCGAGAACACCCGCGGGTCCGCGATCAGGTGCACGTCGCCCTCATGCACATAGTGCACCGCCTGGAGTGGGGGAAGAATGGGAGGAGGGAAGGGGTAAGAGGATAGTGGGTGGGAAATGGGATGAGGGGTAGAGAGAGAGGGCGAGTAACACCATTAACTGACCTTTGGGAGCAAGATATCAATTAGAGTGGGGGTGCTGATGGATCTATGAGAGTGGAGCAACACGAACTAAAAAGGCACTGACCCATTCTGTGATCCGTAGCCTGTTGTCCGCGTCGTCAGGGTCAGGCACCACCGCCCGCCGCCCGGTGATCAGCTCCAGGACAATCACGCCGAAGCTGGTGAAGTAACGCCACACGCAGAAACGGAAGAGTCACTTAAATCACCCCACATTTAACACAACGACGCTCGTCCATGCACCCGTAGCAGTCACACAATCCACTCAGCGCCCACGCTCAAATCTCAAGTGGACGCAGTCACAGAGTTCGCTTCCCCCCGCCCTGCCCCGCCCCCCGCACCTGTACACGTCCGTGTGCTGCGGGGTGAGCGCGGAGGGCGCGAGCAGCGGCGTGGCGGGGTCGCGGTAGCCCTCCTCGCTGAGCGCCTGCGGCACGGGGTTCAGGCGCGCGCCCTCGCCGTGGTGCACGAAACAGAAGTCCGCGATCTTGGGCTGGCGCGCGGGGAATGGGGAGGAAAAGGGGGGGAGTGGGCGGGGGAGTGGAGGGGAGGAGGATGTGCGAGTGAGAAGCGAACGGGACAAGTGGGGGAAGAGAAAGAGAAGGGGTGGGGGTGGGGGGGGGAGAGGGGGGGGAGGGGGGAGGAGGATTTAGGAAAGGGTTAGGGGTATTGACAGCAGGGGAAGAAGTAGCGCAAGCGGAGCGTGGTAGGGAAGCAGGATGGCTGGAGGGCAGCATGGAAGCGCGGCGGATGGCGAGGTGGTTGCAAGACAGTGCAACAACACGGCAGGCACGGCAGGAGCACGGCAGGAGCACGGAAGGAGCTTGGCAGCAGCGCACCTGGCCGTCGGCGGTGAGCATGATGTTGGAGGGCTTGAGGTTGCGGTGCATCAGCCTAGGCCGCTGCGAGTGCATCCACGCCAGACCCTCCGCCACGCCAATCGCCACGCGCACGCGCTGGTGCAGGGGCATGGGAGAATCTGGGGGGGGGGAAGGGGGAGGGAGGGCGGAGAGTAGGGCGGAGTCTGGAAGACGGGCGCTGGCGGAAGGAACTAGATGCCGAATGGGCAGCGAGAAAGAGAAGAACGAGGAAGCTGGGCCGAATGACCTCTAGAACCTGAACACTATTCCGTCTTGGTTCGACAAAGCACTTACTGCCGGCGGCGAGCAGGTTATCGCGCAGCGACCCGTGCGGCATGAGATGGTACACCACGAGCCGCTCGCTGCCCGCGCAGCAGAACCCGACGATGCCCACGATGTTGCGGTGCGAACGCCGCGCGATCGCCTCCACCTCGTCCACGAACGACGGCTCGCAGTCGCCCGCGCCCGCCGCGCCCCAGTTGAAGCGGTGGAAGCGCTTCACCGCCCACTCCAGCCCGCCGGGCGCCTCCGCGCGGAACACTGCGCCGTACGCCCCGCTGGTGCTGGCGGGCGCGGCGAGGCGGCGCAGCACGTTGAAGCCGCTGGTGGCGCGGCGGAGCTCGTCGAAGGTGAAGCGCACGCACTTGGACTTGGACGACGGCGTCGCCGGCACCGCCGAGTCCATGCCGTCCTCGAACGACAGCCCCTTGCCGGCCGCTGCTGTGGGACGGCGGGGGGGAAGAGTGGACGAAACGAGCGAAGGTGAGTAGGAAGCAGTGGGCGGGCGGGTGGAGGCGGGCGAGAAACGGAAAAATGGATGGCAGACGAACAAGGCGAGAACGACACGAGGGTGGAGGACAGAGCATAGGGGTAGAAGCAGAGGTAGCAGGGAGAGCTTACGAGAGCCTCGGTACTGGTACATGACGAAGAGCGCGACGATAATGGCGGCCACCACAGCCACAGGCACGGCGATCATCAGCGCCAAGGAGAGCGGCGAGGGGGAGGCGGAGGCATCAGGGCCGTCGATGGGCTCGACCGACACGGCATCGACGATAGTGCTGTTCTCCGCCGTCAGCACCGTGAACATGACCGCCGTCGCGGCGCCGCTCGCCGCCACCTCCAGCGTGCCACGCGCGTACCCGTTCGCGTCCACGCGAGCGGCGTCAGCGGCGGAGAACGTGGCGTTGGCGGCGCCGAAGGACACCTGCATGAGCAGCGCGCGCTGCAGCGGCTGCCGCCCCGCGAAGAAGAAGCTCAGGCGGTACCGCCGGCCCGGCTCCGTGGGGACGGACTGCTCCGCCGCGCCCCAGAAGCAGTGGCTCGGGTTGTCGCAGCCGCCGAGCTGCAGCGCGCAGTCGCCATCGTACGGCGGAGGGGCGTCGGAGGAAGGGGGGCGGATGTCGAGACGCGATGTGGCGGAGGCGGCGGATGATGACGCGGGGGAGCAGACCGGACGCGCGAACGACCATAGATGCCAGCCGGTGGCGGAGCTGCCTGAGGCCGTCGAGTGCTGTAGTTGCTCGAAGCTCGGGTCGCGCACGAGACCTGCGATCAAGACAGGGAGGATGTTACACCGGGGGGTAAAGGTCAGCGCACGGTGGAGGGGGGTCGGAACGAAGCAAGAACGAACAAGCGTTGTCCTGCACGCGTGGGCGAAATGAAGGTCTACCTTCTTGGGAAACCCGCGGCAATCATGTAAAAGGAGTGCCATACGAGAGCGGCATACGAGAGGGCCTACCAGAGTCCGTTGTTCCAAGCGTTGCGAATGCTGCGATGAGTAGTCCTAGAAGCCAGGGCGCAGCGACGGTGATGTGGCGACCCATGGTGACTGGCTGCGTAAAAGTCGTGTGTGTGCTTTTTACTGAGGAGATTAGTCCAGAAGGGTGGAAAATCGAGATTATTGATTGAGGCAGATACTACTTGTGTTCTTTGCGAATGAGGTGGATGGCCTTCCTCCCTTACTCCAAGAATGGACGGTTTTATGTTCCTGTCTGCAAAAGCTCGGCTCGATAGATATCTGTGTGGGTGCGGGGGGGGTGAGGCGGTGATGCTGCGAGGGTGGATCCACATGCGCTTAGCTGTAATGACTTTCCACACTGCCTTGGCACTGCCTCGCTAAATTTGACTGCCAGAATTGAAACAGCGCTGCGGTTAGCTCCCCCGTCTCATCTCCGTCCCCCCGAATCCCGAACAAGCTCAGCCAATCACGTTCGATTCAAGCAACCTGGCAAGGAATGCGCGACGTGGATTGTTACCTCCGTCTCCCTCTTGCAGCCGTGTCGCCACAACTTATGATTGGTCGAGCGTCTCGCGCCACACCAGACCTGGTCTTTTTTTTCGGGTCTGCGCTGTCTGCGCTGGGGGTTCGGCAGGGCCAAACTCGGGCAGTTAGTGAAAGGGGCAGAGCGAGTCAATTGGAAGACAGCAGCAGTGGAAGCACAAGTTCGCTTGACGGTGGGTGTGATGGAGTGGGGTGGGGGGAGATGTCAAGCTCTGGACTCTAAGACTGATGACGAAGGACGAGTTCCCTTGCTCTGATTGGCCAATGGAACAGTGAGTGGAAGAACAAGCTTCCTCGACGCCGAGCATCAACAGGTCACTGTACACTTTCCTCGTTTTCTTTCGTTCCGTAGGCTTGACGCTTGACAAAGGTTGCCTCTGCTGGAGTGTAAACATGACAAGCATGACTCGCTGGGAAATGGACAACTGATCAGCCCCAACAGCTTTTCCTCCTTGACGCGGTGTTCCAAACCCCCAACTTTTGGTGCATGGAACTTAGCATTCTCCCACTGTTACCGCACCAGCTCTTACAGCTCCGCTAGCTGAAACATGGGTTGTACAATTGTCACCGCAGCGCCATCCAGCTCAGCTCAAAATATGACCCGAGGTGCAAGATTTCTAAACGCGGCCTCCCAGAAATTGTCAAGCACAAGACTTCAAAGGGCCGCTCTTCACGCCAGTTGCAGGGCAGCAGGCTCTACCCCCCGACCAACTTACCCGACAATGCCAAAATGGCCACTGTGTTGTGCATATCCCGCTGACAAATGAGACTGCTTTTTCGATAACGACGAATGTTACGCAGTGCTCGCCAAAATCACATCAACTTGCTGGTGAAAAGCGAATGCGCTGGCAGATAGTTACAAACTGTAACAGTCGGGCTTCAAATGTTATGGGTCTCAAACAGCTAATGTCGAAAATGGCATCTTGAGGAAGATAAATACAAGAGGCAACATCAAAACAAGCTAGGATACAACCAAGGCCTGGAGCACACGGTGAGGCTCCGCAGAGCTGAGACATGTCACAGCAGATTCGCATGGGGCGCGCATGAAATGAAAGGCATGAAACTTCTAAGTGCACAGAATGTATTGTTAGAATGCTAGAATAATTAGAATGAGATAATACAAGGGAATATACGGCTAGTGTGTCTTAACGTAGGATTGAATGTCAAGAGAAAACAGTACAAGGGTATAAGCCTAAGTGTTGTACCCTCTAAGATATGAACCTATACAGTCTATACAAACATGAACTATATGTTTGACACACCCCCTAGACTGCATAGGTGCAGTTCCTGATGAGAGAAACGACAACTCATGGTGGCACTACTAGTCCAACCTCTGAGTCAAGGGTCTAAAGACCAGTCAAACAAGTACAGACCAGTACAAGGGCAAGACCAGGGCGGCACTACTAGTCCAGCCACTGGGAGAGGCCACAAGGCCAGTAAAGGATAAAAATATATATAAAGGTTAGTACATAGTCAAGGCCCTAGCAGGTGAGAGGTAGCAGGAACAAGGCCTAGCTGTACACAGTGCCGCTGATGATCTTTAGACGCAAAGGCCTTCGTAAAGATATCAGCTATGTTGGCACCGAAAGCCAAGTGTACTACGCGACCCTGGCGACGCTGCTGCAGCTCGCGCAGGAGGAAGTACCGCAGCTGGATGTGCTTTGCTCTGCCCTCAAGTCAAGGATCCTGACACAGGAGGATCATGGCCCTGTTCTCAGCATACAGGACTGTTGTCATGGCTCTCCTACGTCGGTGCAGGTGTGTCTCCTCAGCAGCTCAGCCTTTACAAAGGCCAGCGCGGTGGTGTCTGCAGTGGCAAACACCAGATCGTCTACGTAAACAAGGATGTAGAACGGAGTCTGGCCAGAACGAACAAAGAGCGAGGGGTCTGCGGAAGACGGAAAGAACTGCAGGTCTGCAAGAGTAGCACGCAGCGTGTCGTGCCACTCGCGGGGAGCCTCACGCAAGCCGTAGACTGGGCGCCGCAGAAGCCACTGGGTTCCAGGAGGGAAGTTACCAGTGAAACCCTGAGGGCGGCGTAGGTAGACCTGCTCGTGTAGACTGCCTTGAAGAAACAAAGTGGAGAAGTCGAGAGATTGTAACTCGTAGTCACGCTGTGCTGCTGCGTGTAGCAGTGCCCGAAGAGTAGACATCTTCGGCATCGGGGCGAAAGTCTGAAAGAAGTCCACCCCCTCACGCTGACTTAAGCCTCTAGCCACGTAGCGCGCCTTGAACACAGGCGGCTCTCCAGGAGGGCGCTTCACCTTGAAGAGCCAGCGGTCATCGACTACGTTCACCCCAGGTGGAGGAACTGCATCGACGTAGGTGCCTGTAGCCCTCCAGCATGCCATCCCTTGCTCCATGGCAGCTATCCACTGAGCGGCCCAAGGTCCCGAGGTCGCCTCAGCGTAAGTGCGAGAGGTCGGGATGTCGAAAGCGTCTAGGTCACCCTCAGGGACTAACAGCATGGAACAGAGATGGGGAGCAGCCTCGGACAAGAAACCAAGCTCGTACTGGCGGTCCTCCAGGGCGTCACTGCCGAGGGCAGGAGCACCCTCGACAGACGGAGGACAGGCAGGGTCAGAGACCAGAGCGATGGCATAGTCAAGGCGGCGGGTAGAGGCGAAGTCAGCGACCGCAGCGACAAGAGCGTCGAGACACGAGAGCGGAATAGACGGGTAGGTAACGAGAGAGGCAAGGACCCGAGGAACAAGGAGACGAGCGGCGCGAAGGTAGTCAGACAGGGGGAGAGGCGCAACAACAAGAGAGGACGGAGGCGGCGACGGTAGGAGGGTAGGACGAGACGCGTGCGAACGAAGCAACATATGGTGAGAGCTCGGGACAGGGGAGACGGGGCGAGCATGGGAGGGACGGCGAGACCAGACGTGAGACGGAGGCGTCGAGTCAGGAGACAGAGGAGGGAACACAGGAGGGGAATGAGGAGGAAGACGAGCCGGAGTCGAGTCTGGGGGAGGGAACACGTGGCCGTAGACAGGAAGGGGAGGAGACGGTAGGGGAGGCACAGACACGTGGTCAGGGGTTGGGAGGCCGAGCAGGCGAAGGGCTGACACTGGCGGTGACTGCTGCTGCAGCGGCACGACACCGACACCGGGACGGCAAGCTGCTTCACGGCTACCTCCGGAACACTCCACTCCAGCACCCCCAGAAGGAATACCCCCAGGGCCGGAAAACCGGACGGGTCAAGGGGGAAACCGAGGAAGACACAAGGGAGGGTGCGGGCGGTGAGCTTGTCCGTGCCAAAGGCACGAACGTGAGCAAGGCAGCCCCAGACGTGAAACGCAGAGCCGTCACCAGGAGATCCGGACCAAAGAAGAGTCGGCGAAACCTGCGGTTGCTGGGGGTGCGGCCACAGGTTAAGCTGGTGAGCGGCGTAGCAATCAGCGAACGGCCACTGAAAATGGGTTGCACTGGCATGGATCATGAAGGTACGGGCCACCTCCATGACCAAGCCGATGCGTCGCTCAGCGACCCCATTCTACTGCGGGGAGTCCGGCAGGGTGAACATCTGGGTGATGCCCTCCGCACGACAGAAACGACCAAGGACACCAGAGGCAAACTTGCCACCACGGTCGGAGTGGAGACGCAAGACAGGGAGACCGCGGTGGACACGCGCAGTAACAAGCCACGGGATGAGAACGTTAGGCACGTCGGCCTTCTACTCCAAGGCGAACACGGTGGTGTAGCGGGTGTAGTCGTCGACAAGCACTAGGAAGTAGCCCATGGACAGGGGCGGGGCCCCAGACGTCCATGTGCAGGGTCTGCAGCGGTGCGGCGGTAGGGGGGAAAGAGGAGGAGTGAGGGGCATGGCAGAGCCGGCCCTCGACACAGGGCATGAACGGTGGTGCTGGGGAGGAGGGCAACTCGGGGAACGACCCTGGGAGACCTAGGACAAGACCGTGCTGGGACATGTGACGCAGACGCGGGAGTGCAGGATGACCTAGATGGTGGTGCCATAGGAGTGTCGGGTGAGTGAGCGACCGACAGGAGCAGGTAGCAGCAACCTGGGTAAACGCAGCTACCCGAGGGGACGTTCCAACCTGGGGGGTCGCGGTGGCCAGTGTGAACAGGCCGGACACCGGGTCCCGGGGGAACGTGGTGAGTGGGGCACCAGTGGCGGCCACGGTACAGACAGCGTACCGCTCGTGACCAGGGAACGTAGTGGTGACGCCAAGGTCCTGGAGGCAGCCGACACCAACTAGGTTCCTGGAGAACGAGGAGATGTGCAGGCCTGTAAGAGAGCCCAAAGGAACCGCCGGACAGGGAAGGGTGGTGGAACTGCGAGCGACTACCGAGACGGAGGAGGGGTCGGCAAGGGAATTTGCAGCAGGAGTAGCAAGCGGCGTAAGCGTAGTGGAGTCATGGAAGAAACACCCAGAAGCGCCAGAGTCGAGCGTGAAGGAGAGCGCAGCGGTGGCGTCTGAAGAGAGAGCAGCGACACTAGAACCTAGGCTAAACAACGCAGGGGATCCTACGCCTGAGGCAGCAGGGGAGGCAAGACTAGACATGCCTACACTAGGCAACAAGGGGTAGTAAGAAGCAGTCACACTAGAGTCATCAGCATACATCACATGCAGGGCAGCAACAATCTCATCCATGTCCATATCAAAGATCTGAACACTATGGTGAAACAAGCTATCCCAGTTGGGGAGGTAGGGCGACGGGCCGAAGCGCTGACGAAACAGGTCGTCCAGGCGACGGAAACAACGGACGGAGGTGTGACGGATCATACCGCAAACAGAACCACGGCGAGGACCGGTCTGGAGC